CAGCACTCAGTGGTGGTGTGACTGTACTGGAGCTCCAACATGTCTGGCACAGCAGCACTCAGTGGTGGCCTGACTTCATTGAAGCCAGGACAGTCCACGGTCAGTCTCCATTCGCCGTGGGACTCACGGACAGGCCAGATGGGCTGTTGGTGTTTCTGCCTGGTTTAGAACCAGGGACCTTTCGCGTGTCAGGCAAACGTGAGAACCACTACACTACAGGAACATGCTGGTATTAGAGAGAAGATCAGGGCCTTGATTAAGTGGATCTCCTCCGTTTCCTGGAAGTGGTTTTGTAGACAAGGTTAATTTTTGGAATAGCTCTCACCATGGTATTTGCATATTAATACAGTCAGCAAATCCATCAACTGCAATTAGTGGGCATTCTGAGACATTAACTGCTTTGAAGTATCACTTATCTTCTAACAGATCAGTAAATGATTTTTCTCCCCTCCCAAGCTTCTCTATATAGAAATAGATAGAAATACTCTACTTTATCCCAGGAAAAAAAAACTTTAAAGCTGGATTTTAGTTGCCCTTTTCTTGGCAACAGTGGAATTGGTTCTGGTGGAGTTCAGACATAGGGGCTCCAAGACTGGCTAGCGAAGATACTGGGACAAAGGCATGTACAAACTGATATCTAGCAACTTAATGACTAATTAATCAGAAAAACTCCTCAGAAGAAAGAGCAGAACACCAGCAGTGACTACCAATGCCAGTGCTCCTGTGTAACTGCTTCAAAAGCAGATGCTGAACGACCACAGTCACTGGAGCCTCAGCTAAAGGCCAGGTTGGACAGGGCTTGGAGCAGCCTGGGCTAGTGGAAGGTGTCCCTGCCCTGGTAGGGGGTGGCACTGGATGAGCTTTAAGGTCCCTTCCAACCCAAACCAGCCTGTGATTTTATGAAACCAAGGGTTTCCTCCCCTTAAGAAATAAATGCACTTAAAGCCTGGCCCTCAGTGTGTGTCCTACTGTCTGTATCTGCACATTTTTAGGCTGACAAAATCACATTTCAAGCCTGAGATGAGTCTGAAATGTCAGTCTTTGAAAACAGATTATGTAAAAAGAATTTCTCATTTGGAAATGACATTTTAATCTGCAAATCCAGCCAGAGCCTCTGTGTAAGAAATACAGAGAAGTATATTTCATAAAGCCTCAATCACCCATCAAAACCTCTGCTGGGAGCAGGCTACTGCTTTCACTGGCTCAGCAGCTTTTCAAATAAGCATCTAAAAGTTCCCAATACTGGATGTCTTTTCTAGCTACAATCTAAGACAAGATTTGACAAAGCCCAAGAGAACAGATAAGATACTATTAATCACCAGATAAGTTGTGTATTAAATGGATGTACTGTGGTACTCTTTTAAAAGACTGAGATGGCTCCTTCCAACAGACCTGCCTTAAGGTTCTGATGAAGTGTTGACACAAGTCAGTGTAAAAACTGCTCACAGACCTGTTTGTCCAAAGTTTAATAAAGGAATTTGGTGACATTAAGATCTGCTCTGCTTCCACTCCTGGAGTGACTAGGTGAAGTTTTTCAAACACCTGGAATATAAGAGACATTTTAGTTTACTGTTGTGTCCAGCAAGGAATTTACTTCGTTTATTTAATCTTCAAAACAAAAGAAACACAAATAGAACTGTAACAACTTTTTTTCCCCTTGATAATACATATGGTGAAAAATGACAACTGAACATAAATATTTGAGAATGGGAGAGGCAGTATCTTCTCCAAACTACTCTGAAGAGCATTTACTTCCAGGGCTATGGCTAAACTAAGAAGCAGCATGAAAACAGAAGACTTCTCTAGTGAAATGGTGTTGGAGACCCCACATTCACCAGGCACTTTAGACTCCCCCAAGGCTGAGCCCGTGAACTGAAGGCTCACATGAGGAACATTACACAAACAAGAGCTCAAAGATTAACCAAAGTTGGAGCTACTCCTTTGCGTTTCAAATTCCTGACTTCAAATACAGACTTGAATTTAGTTCTGAAATAGATATTTAAGCATTAATGGTGAGGAAAAGCATCCTACCTGAATTTGGATCTCATCGGACAGCTCTCGTGCCATGTTGTAGAACTGGTTGGCTGCAGGATCCAGGACCTTCACAACTACTTTGAGGCCTGTTCTTCCCTTTACTCTGCCATAAACATCCACTGCAAAGTTGTATTTTGCAGGAAGCTGAAAAGAAGCCTTAGGACAGGAGAAAGGGATTAAAATGTGATTTGTGGAAAGAGCAGACCCTGCTACAGAGGAAATACCCCCCCCCCCGAGCTGACAATCACTCAGGGATTTTCAGAGTGCAGGCAACAACATCTTCTTCATTCCCCTTATGTGGCAGTTCCCTTTTCCCAACACACACGCACAGGCAGGGACACACACACATATTTTACCTCACTGTGCCTTGTCTTGACATCCAGAGTGTCCCTCTTTGTGACAGACCAGTGGAACGTTAACCCCGGCACAGCATTGCCAAAAGAGAAAGGGGTCTGACTGCTGGTGATGCCCATGACATAAACTGGCATCTAGAAACAGAGAAACCAAGCTGCTTAGGGAATTCCAGCATGGTGACAAATCCCCTGCACACAGCAAAGAGAATTAAAGTTCATTGATAAAGAGATGGTGTCTCATGAAGAAAATGGTTTGGCTGCTGTTTATGCTGCAAGGATGTATCACACAGAGGACTCAACCACCAACTTGTCCTAAGTCAGTTTTGATTCCTTCTCATTTGGTATGCTCCACGAACACAAAACAGGGATTTTCAAGCTTTTATTTTAATCTTCAAAGCAATTCAGTCACTTGGGATCAATGAGCTGCAATCACTTGCCATTCTGGAATGAGTAACTAACAAAGGAATATAAAGTCTTCAAAAATAGACTTACAGAAGATAATTTAAGCAATATCTGTTGTTCTGGGTATAACAGACACACTGGACATTGTCAACACACAAAGGAAGGAAGTCTCCACTGCAACAGAATGAAGATGAGAGAACCATCCTCCAGATTAAAGGAGGGCCTGAATTCCTAAAATCTGGTGCAGAAGGGAAACTTGTTTTGAATTCTGTTTTAGTATCACAGAATCACAGAAAGGTTTGGGTTGGAAGGGACTTCAAAGCTCATCTCATTCCACCCCCTGCCATGGGCAGGGACGCCTTCCACTAGCCCAGGTTGCTCCAAGCCCCATCCAACCTGGCCTTGGACACTTCCAGGGATCCAGGGGCAGCCACAGCTTCTCTGGGCACCCTGTGCCAGGGCCTCCCCACCCTCCCAGGGCAGCTTCTCTCTGCCAGTACATTCCCTCCTGCAGCAGCCCTGGTGCCACTGGGAGCTGCAGTCCCATCACCAGATGGTCTGACAGGAATGGTCCCAATGTGCAGCTCAACATGTTAAGGCAAAAGATGCAAATCCCAAACCAACTCACCTGAGTACCAGTTTTCATCCGGGTAATGGGTGCCCGAATTCTGACAGCTGCCAGCTGGACCACTTCCACTTCCACCTTGTCCTGGAAGGGAGGAAGGGAAGGCATTGTAAGCACCTGTCAGATGGGGACTAGGTTTCACTTTCAGGCTCTAGCCACTATTTTGTCATTATCTAATCACTGTTACCATGTGATTTGCATGTGACTTGTCAGCAAAAACACAGATGGACAAATTCAGTAGGGCTGTAAAAAACTACAACAGTATTAACTTTACATTGATAGACATTTTAAAATGCCCCCTAAATTGAAAAAAGAAGCTCTGCTCAGAATTACTGATGCTATGAATGATGGAACTGAGAAGTGACAGACAGCAAGGGACAAGATCATAGGGGTCCCCAGGAGAACAGGGATGAATAAACCCTGGTAAAGATAAAGGACGACACTGAGAGAATTAGAAGGCAATGAGGATTGCAGAACAGCAAAGGGGACAATCCAGAATAAAAGTATGGTATGTGTGACACTCTGATGTCTTCTCTTCACATATCCTGACTTTCCTGATAGATTTTATTCCTGCTATCCACTGGGATGGAAAGGTCAGACCTGGAACCTCAATGGGCAGCAGATTCAGCTTTCAAGTTCACTTTGCCTCCTGCCACAGCATTGGGGCAGACTGCTGCCCATGCATTAAAAAGCATAGATTCCTTTATATTTTATTTTTTTAAAAAGTCACTTTGTCTCCTCTTGGCCTGTGCTAACATCTCTCAAGCAGCAGAGCTTTATGGTTCACAGCAGCTGTGCTGCCTTGACCTCAAAGGAATAAGTCATAAGATTTGGCCCAAGTTCTGGTGCTCTGAGCCTTATGCAAGTGCCAGGGAGTTGTGCTCCCTTACAGGCCTGTTCAGCTCCCTCATGCTCAGCTGTAGGAAATTCCAAGGACACAGATTCTGAAGGAATACCAGGGATTCACTGCTGGTACCTCTAGATGGGTTGTCCAGAGCACAGCACACATGAGAGCTGTGACAGAAACTGCTGTAGCTCAACAGACAACATGTTTCTTGGGCTACAGTTGCCTTCTGGATCCTACTGACCTAAGGCATGCTAAGCTGTAAGGGGATGCAGGCAAGGACAACCTCCTGCTGTGTTAGAAAAGCTTCTTTAGATGGGCTTTTCTAGATGCACTGATCGATTTTAAAGGTACCACACAGGGTATAAAACCTCCCTGGGTTATCTGTAAAACTTTGGTTTAAAGCACACCAAGATTTACCCACCTGTTCAAAGTAAGCACCCGTGCCAGCACACTGCAAGTTCACAGGCCAGGGAGTAAGAAACACTGTGTTTTCATCTTCAGGAAACCAGGGAAGTGCACAAGATAACACTGTTAATGCAACAGGATTATCTGCCCCCTTTTAGAGCCAAAGCCAGGAGTCAGAGAGCCTCTTTCCGCCCCAAACATTACCTGAGACACCACCACGAGTCTCCCTGTCTCTGCATCCACAGCCTGCACCACTGCTGTGACCGTGGCACTGCCCATGGCCACGCCCTGCACCAGCCCCGTGCTGTTCACCAGCGCCACGCGCTCCTCGTCCACGGAGAAGATGATGTTGGACAGGGGCTGGGGGCCTCCTTCAGAAGTGATCTGTCATTAACAGCACACACAAGAGCTCCCATTAACCCTGCAGGTGCTTATTGCTCCTGGTTAACCCTTGGGGGCACTCCCCTCCCTGCTCAGCACCACAGTGTCCCCAGGGAAAGGCTGCCTGAGCCTCCCCGGGGCAGCTCAGGCCTTGTTTCTCCTGCACTCTGGTCCCT